TGGTTTCAGGTTGATGAATGTGTTTATCGCCTTCCCGATTCTCGATTTAACATCCTCGTCCGTTCCTCGTGTAGTTGAGACAATGCTCCCTAGATAAGTGAATGAAGTAACCTCTTTCAAATCCCTCCCGTTGTTGGTGATTGGCACTGGATGTAGCTGCTGCTGTTGTTGTTGGTTGGTTGATTATTTTCATAACCTCCGTCTTGTCTATGTTCACCTGGAGTCCTGTCTTTGCTGCCAGCTTCTTCGACCAGTTTGTCGGTTTATCACTCTAGTAGCAGATAGTAAATACATTCAGCTGGCGAATTCTACATCTAACGAAACGCCCACATCTTGGATTCATCTATTCCTAACCCATCATTACTACTTATTAAACAACTTCTCCCTCTCTTCTCTCTCTGTATTACTTACTAATTTCTATATGCTTACCAAAACAGAAAATAGGTGATATCGCGCATCTGCTAAATTAATCTCAGTAGCAAATTTCAATTTGTATAACATTTAATCGATTTTCTATTAGAAGGAAAAAAGAAAGCCTATCCTGATATAACTTCATGTCGTGTTAAGTACTTAGTTGTGTGTGTGTGTGTTTGTATGTGTGGAGATGTGTGCGTTGCAAAGATGTTGGATATAATTCAGGTGAACTTTGTCTCTTTATCAAACTGTGCAGAAAAAGAACACTGTTTATCTATACTATTTATCTATTGGAAAATGTAAAGAAAATGTAACTTGTAACTCGATTGACAGACAAGTGAAGATTGAAGACTTTTCTTACACACACACACACACACACAAGGGAAGTAAATTAGTCTAAACTGTCATATCTGAAGACAACACAAAGTGACAGGAAGTAAGAGAGAGAGAGAGTGAGGCAGTGGACCAAAATCATTGAAAACCTGTGGGGGAGTACTGCCTAGTCTGCTGTTTCGTTCTGGTCTGGGACTCTTCAGCCGGAAGCATCCACTGAAGTTTCAGCCTAGGACCATCTAGCCCACGAATCCCACCTAAGTGGCGCGACTGACACCAGTCAATCTCATCCGTGGTGGGTGTTTGTTCTCACTGGCGACCGGCTGTACCCTAACACACTTCAGCGACTCAGGGATTGACTTGCTACCGCCAGGGAATAATCTCGTCGACTTAGAATATGCAGACGATATAGTCCTTCTAGGCGAGGATGCTGACAAAATGCAGAGTCTACTGAACAACTTGAGCAGCAATCTTCGTTTGTTTGGCATGCGATTCGCCCCTGTAAAATGTAAGATGATGTTACACGATTGGACTACACTGACTCCTAGATTAGAAATAGGAAGTGAAGTGGTAGAGCACGTTGACCGCTTCACTTATTTAGGAAGTTGCATCAGCCACAATGGGTTGATCTCTGACGAAATCTCAGCACGGATACAGAGGGCTAGTTTCGCATATGCCAATTTACGCCGTCTATGGCGTAGACGTGATATCCGACTATCGACCAAAGGGCGTGTGTACTGCTCATCAGTCCGCTCCGTCCTCCTTTATGGCTAACTGTGAGACCTGGCCATTGAGAGTGGAAGACATGAAAAGACTAGCTGTCTTCGATCATAGGTGTCTGCGTTCTATCTCCCGCGTGAAGTGGTATAATAAGGTGAGCAATATTGAGGTTAGGCGTCGAGTGCTAGGTAAGGAAGGGAAATCAATAGACAGTGTGAAATTACATCGACTGAGATGGTTAGGACATGTGTTACGTATGCCTAGTCATCGCCTTCCTCGAAAATGGGCAATGTTAGCTGACATAGGGCCAGGCTGGAAAAGAGCTAGCGGCGGTCAAACGAAAACATCGCTTCATCAGTCAATGAAATCTACAACAGTTAGTCTAAGCCACGTAGGGAGGTGTAGACTTCCTGGTTGGGGTCCTCGGGACGGTAAAAACCAATGAAGGCTGGAGACAATTGGTGATATGGCTCAAAATCGCTGTCAATGGCTGGTGCAGATGCATCCACTCCTTGTGACTTATGATTTCCAATCAAACTGTTTTGTTCTTCGTTATTACTATTCCTTTTTCTCACACCTCTGTTTACTGTCTCTAATATGCATTTCTCCTACTTTCTTCTCTTGCTTTGTGTGCTACATGGAGTGTGGCGACTTGAACTGCAGCATATATGTGCAAAGTTCTATGTCGAAAACCGGCCACCTGGCTGTACCCATTGGTCACGACTTCTGACTGGGACTCTGGTCGACTTCGTCCTGCATCCAGTCGCTGATGAGAATAGAGATTAGTTTTGAAGAGTCCTTTCATAGGGATTTGATTGGTCTCTAATTTGATCATGTTTTAATATCAATTAGAGAACCATTGAAAACTGGCAGGAAATTATGCCTCCTTTGAGATTCGATCCCGTGTCATTCATTCCTGCAGGAGGTCAATCACGAGTCCGAATAGCTCAATGGTAACGCAGTGATTGACTTCAAGCATTACTGAGTGACACATGGTGCAAATCTCTGAGATTGACATGACCTCCTTCAAGATAGAAGATACGTCCTGAGGACTGGTGAGCGCTAACAAACATGAAACCCTAGGTCCTTCCCAAATACCTCCTATCATCTATCTGATAATGTATTCGGATTATTTCTTAAGGCGTTGTTAAGGAAGAGTAAAACAACTCACTCTCTTATTGATGACAAACTAAATACCAGCTTTAATTGAATTTTAGATTTTCCAGTCGATTGATTGGACCGAAGTGCTCGGTCTCAGGTTGACATGTCTGTTGGCTTCTTGTGCAGATGCTTCGACGATGTCTGGGCATTTTATTAGTATTTAATTGGTGGATGGTGACTGTCAGTGGAATCCAGCCGGGATGCACATTTCGTCCTATATGGGACTCGTCCAACAGCTGGATGTACCTGCATTTTCCAGTGAGTGATGATGTTCCCACCGAGGCTCGAACCCAGTACCTATGGTTTCAAACGCCAAAGCGTTATCCATATCTGCACAAGAAGCCGACATGCCGCTATCTCTTTTCCAGCTTGACCCTATGTCAGCTAAGATTGCCCATTGTCGAGGAAGACGATGACTAGGCATGCGTAACACATCTCCTAACCATCTCAGTCGATGTAATTTCACAGCCTCATCTATTGATATCCCCTCCCATTTACTTAGCACTCGACACCTAACCTCAATATTGCTCACCTTATTATACCACTTCACACGGGAGATAGAACGCGGGCACCTGTGATCAAAGACGGCTAATCTTTTCATGTCTTCTGCTCTCAATGGCCAGGTCTCACAACAATAAAGGAGGACAGAGCAGACTGCTGAGCAGTACACCTGCCCTTTGGTCGACAGTTGGATATCACGTCTATGCCAAAGACGGCGTAAACTGGCATATGCGAAACTAGCCCTCTGTATCCGTGCTGAGATTTTGTCGGAGATCATCCCGTTGGGGCTGGTGGTACTTCCCAAGTAAGTGAAGCGGTCAACGTGCTCTACTACTTCACTTCCTATTTCAAATCTAGGGGTCGGTGAAGTCCAATCCTGCAGCATCATCTTTCATTTTACAGGGGCGAATCGCATGCCAAACATTCGTAGATTGCAGCTCAAGGTGTTCAGTAGACTCTGCTCTATTTTGTCAGCGTCCTCGTCTAGAAGGACTATATCGTCCGCATATTCTAAGTCGACGAGATTATTCCCTGGTAGCAAGTCAATCCCTGAGTCTCTGAAGTGAGTTAAGGTTAAGTCCATTAGTACGATATCTATGATGAAATTGAATAGGAATGGGGAAAATGGGCATCCTTGACGACGCACACTTAACTCATCTACGTTTTCCATTTAGGTTCCACACGACTGATTGCCTAACTAGTGTACAATGTCAACCTATAGTCTCCTCCAAGCTTTTCCGATCCACCTCTACCGAATCTTGATTGGTTCGTTTTTTGTGCTTATCAGAGAAGTGGGCAGTTGTTGATAAACGTTTTCGGTGGACAGTTTTGGAAATGCTTTTCGTGACACTCGCTACAACTGTCTACCACTAGGAAAAAATATAACTGAATAACAATGACGAAATCTCAGCACGTATACAGAGGGCTAGTTTCACATATGCCAGTTTACGCCGTCTCTGGTGTAGACGCGATATCCGACTATCGACCAAAGGGCGGGGGCACTGCTCAGTAGTTCGCTTCGTTCTTCTATATGGCTGTGAGACATGGCCAATGAGAGTGGAATGCATGAAAAGGCTGGCTTGGTGTCTTTGATCATAGGTGTGTGAAGTGGTGAATAGGGTGAGCAATATTGAGGTTAGGCATCAGTCGAGTGCCAGGTAAGTGGGAGGAGGAATCAGTCGACGAGACTGTGAAATTACATCGACTGAGATGGTTAGGACATGTGTTGCGTATGCCTAGTCATCGCCTTCCTCGACGGGCAATTTTAGCTGATATAGGGCGAGGCTGGAAAAGAGCTAGCGGTGGTCAAACGAAAACATGGCACCAGTCAATGAAATCTACAACAGTTAGTTTAAGCCACGTAGGAAGGTGTAGACTTCCTGACTGGTTGGGGTCCTCAGGACGGTAAAAACCAATGGTTGGAGACAATTGGTGACATGGCCCAAAGTGATAGTTCTCAATGGCGCAGATGCATCCACTCCTTGTGACTTATGATTTCCAATGAAACTGTTTTGTTCTTCGTTATTACTATTCCTTTGTCTCACACCTCTGTTTACTGTCTCTAATATGCATTTCTTCTACTTTCTTCTCTTGCTTTGTGTGCTACATGGAGTGTGGCGACTTGAACTGCTGCACATATGTGCAAAGTTCTATGTCGAAAACCGACCGACCGAATAACAATAATAATTTGCCACCATCTTACTCAACTTATTATCTGTTTTTATACTGAATTCAAAATTTAAAAAAACTTGGCATCAAGCTCTTTGAATGAATTTATTCTCCACTTCTAAATATATTGATTGACAGTGATTTCTACTGTATTTCTCCTCATATATTATTGTTATTATTATTATCGCTATTTCTCCTTCTAGGTGAACAGTACAGTAGATATGGATTATCATATATCCCGGTTGATATCGTTAGCTATTGCAGAAATACTTGGCGTCAAATCATTTCCATGTCCTCCTTTATACAGGTGAATGAATTCATTATTATTATTATGATTATTGTTGATTACCTTTTTGTCTCTTTTTTGGTTCTCAGTTTTTATTTTTAAAACAAAAATTAAACTGTTTTTTTTGGTTAGAAAACCACTGGAAAACTAGCCAGGGAGTACTGGTCAGGCAGTTGTTTCCCCTGCGTTCTGTCTCCCGTGTGAAGTGGTATAATAGGGTGAGCAATATTGAGGTTAGGCGTCGAGTGCTAGGTAAGTGGGAGGGGAAATCGATCGACGAGGCTGTGAAGTTTCACCGATTGAGATGGTTAGGACATGTGTTACGCATGCCGCCTAGCCATCCGTCACCTTCCTTGATGACGGGCAATATTAGCTGCCATAGGGTCAGGTTGGAAAAGAGCCACTGGTAATAAAAACAAAACATGGCTTCTTTAGTCAATGAAATCCACAACAGATAGTTTAAACCAACCACTTAGGGAGGTGTAGACTTCCTGGTTGGAGTCCTCTGGACATTAAAAACCAATGAATAGAAGCAATTGGTGATATGGCTCAAAATCGTTCTCAATGGTTGGTGCAGATGCATCCACTCCTTGTGACTTGTATTACCCAATAAAACTATATTGTTCTTCGTTATTACTATTCCTTTTGTCTCATATCCCTGTCTACTGTCTCTACTTCGCGGTAACTCGAACTGCTGCATATCTGTGCGAAGTCCTATGTTGAAACCAGTCAGTCAGTCACCTACCACAGGGGTTCGAACCCAGGGCCTTCTGGTGACAAGGCTAGCGAGCTCGTAGACCATTCATCAGCCACTGGGACCCGATCCAATGGCCAACCCATGAATTCTAAATTTTGCCAATTCATGACATAGCATGACTGGCGCTAGCCAATGTCTTCGGCGAGTATTTGTCCTCACGCCGGACTTGCTGTGCCTCACTGGTCACGACTTCCCACTAGAATCCCAGGTAACTACTACCTACTTGGATAGGGTCAGTCGCTAGTGAGCATCTCATTGATTTTCAAGTATTGGTTTGTAGGAATTTTGATTGATTGGTTACAGGATTTCATCATGAGCTGACATCGGTTAGTGAACCATTGGAAAACCAGCAGGGAGTCGGGATTAAAAATTATGAAATAAAAACCCTGTATTGAAGAAGAATTCAAAGGCAGCGCTTAATGTGTATTCCTCTAAGTCCGAATAATCACTAAGCTTGATCTCATCCCCATGAAGCTCCCGGGTTTGATCCTTGGCGGGGTTTATGGCTACGTCTCCAAACAATGATGATCCCATGTCTGGCTGCTTTCGAAGAAGGAGACAGAAGGAGCTACTTCTAACCAGAAGACAAGTTAGAGATACCATTAACTGACTCCTGGATGATGACTTTCCTGAAGGTGTACTAGGGAATCTGTGACCAGTGGGGTCTACAGTGTCAAGGTGAAGCGGATGTTCGCTTATCGTAGGCATTGGTCAGGGTACAGCTATAATACCACAAGTCGACAAAGTTACAATTCATGGCTGACTGACTAACTAACTGACTGGTTTCAGAGCGGTAATTTGCACAGATATACAGCAGCTCGAGTTGCCACATTCTCTTCTTGTAGTGCACAAAGGAAGAGAAGACAGTAAAGACAGACTTAAAAGAGAGATAATAAATAGAGGTGTGAGTGAGGCAAAAAGAATAGTGATAAGTAAGAACAATAGAGTTTTATCGGATATCACAAATCACAAAAAGTGAATGCGCCAGCCATTCAGAACGACTTTGAGCCACACCACCAACTGTCTCCACCCATTGGTTTTTACCGTCTCCATAACCCTAACCACACTGGCAATCTACACATCCCTTTGTCGCTTAAATCAAATGTTTTGGATTTCATTGGATGATGAAGCCATGTTTCGGTTTGACCATCACTTTGTCTGCCGATGAAGGCGATAGCTAAGCATGCATAACACATGTCCTAACCATCTCTCTCAGTCAATATAACCTCACAACCTCGTCGTTTGATTTTCCCTCCCAACTATCTAGCACTCGACGCCTATCCTCAATATTACTCAACCTATTTTACCGCCACCTAACATACACGAGAGATAGGAGGCAGATACCTATGATGCAAGACAGCTAGTCCGACTTTCCATGTCTTCCACTTTCAATGGCCATGTCTCAGTAACAGCTATAAATAAGGACGGGGTGGACTGCTGTGCTTTTGAGCAGTACGCGCGTCCCTTGGTCGACAGCCAGCCAAATATCACGTCTATGGGGTTTGAATTGCCATGTGCCAGAAGAGCCTTCTGCAACCACTCTGGAGCTGCCTGATGCAACTTCCCAATTAGGTGAAGTAGTCAACACACTCGATCAAACACTTCAATTTCTATCTTTAAGCTATTATTATTATTGTTTCCTTTAATTCCTAGAGGAACATAGGGCTTCAGCCGTGCATCTTCATTGCGTTCGATTCTCTGCTAGAGTCTTCACCTGGCTCCAAGTCTACCCACATGCTTTCATCTCCTCTTCACATGACCTCCTCCAAGTCACCCTCACACTGACGACCAATTCGTTGCTCCTCTTTCGGGTTCCACTCGAGCAATGGCTTGTCTAGTGATGTCACTTCATGGTTTCATCAGGGTATGGCCAATCCATCTCCATTTCTTCCTGCCTATTTGTTTCACAATCGGTTCCTGCTGTGTTGGTTCGCCCATTGCTAGAGATCTCTGCTGCTGATATGTTTTGGCCGGCCATCTGATCTTGAGTAGTATTGAGCGAAGACAGCTGTTAATAAAGGTCTGTAGTTTGTTTGACATGCTCTTTATGACGCGCAGTGCAAGTCTCTGATCCGTATAGTAGCACTGACTGACTTCACATTGGAGTTGAAAATCCGGATCTTATTTTTGATGCTGAGTGCTGTTGACGTCCACACAGACTTGAGAGTGGTGAAAGCTTGTCTTCCTGGGAGTCAATTTAGTCCAGTCCTGTAGCATCATCTTACAATTTAGAATTCATGGGTCATTCAGTTTCTGCCCAATAGAGCTGAATTCTAAACGACATCGGTCTGGTCTCCATGAAGGTCCCAGGTTCAATTCCTGGAGGAGTTATAGGTGAGCATAGATGAAGAGTCCCAAATCAGGACGAAACAGCTGTACAGTGCTTCTGGCTGGTTTTCAATAGTCTCTATAACTGATACTAATTTATGGCGAAAATCTAACAAAATTCCAACAAATCCTACAATCTGATTGGTAAATATTTATTGATTAAATTTATTGGGGATTAGTAGTTGTCTTTATCGCTCATTGGCTTTGTTTTATTCCTCTTTTTTTATTCCCACCCCTATCTACTAATATAGTTGTAATTCATCTGAACTTTTTTCTGATGGAGACAATTCCCGGCTTCAATTGGCTCTGTCCTCTGGTATGGCTGATTGTTTACTCGAAAATGTTGTATCAAAGGTTAGTTTTTTTGTTTCTATTGATTTTCTATTGAAAAAGGGATAAATTTAATGAAGTACATCCTGCAATAAATTTTACTATTGAGAAAGAAAAAGACTCTAGTATTTCATTTCTAGACGTCCTTATGACCAGAAAAGAGGATGGGACAATAAGAAGAAGTGTTTATAGAAAACCTACATCAACGGGCCAGTACACACATTTTCTTAGCTTTGTGCCCTTGAAATACAAACGCAATCTGATAAAGTGCTTGGTCCACAGAGCAAGAGAGATTTGCTCGGACGAATCTCTTGACGAGGAACTTAACAATATTAAACGGTTGCTAAGTGAGAATGGTTATCGCGAAAAGTTTATTGATAAGAATATGAATCTGAAACCAAAGCAGCCCAAGTTACCAACAGTTTCAAAAATGGCCTTATTCCTACAGATGCAGTTCCTAGGAGACAACACCAGTGAGATACTAACACAGAGCCTTAGAAATGCGGTAAAAAGAGCATTCCCTGCTGCAGAATTACGCTGTATCTTTAAAACCACTCCTCTTTTGCGTTCGGGAATAAAAGACAAACTGCCTAATTTCGCCTCTTCCATGTGTATCTACCAATTTAACTGCTCCTGTGGAGTGAGCCAGTTACATAAGCCGTACAATTAGGCGTGTTTCGCGTCGAATTTCCGAACATCACCCTGCATAGTGGTTAAGCAAAGGACAAACAAAATCTATTCGCAGCGCTATTCTGTCTCATCTTGTGGAGACAGAACACAAGATTGACGTTAACCATGCTTTCAGGGTAATTTACCGCATACCTACGAATCTCAATTTCGCTTTAAGAGTTCGACTTCTAAATATTGCTGAGGCTGTGGGGATTCATATTAATAAGCCTAATTTATGCACCCAAAAGAAGTTAGTTCAGTCATTATCATTACCTTGGCCATCCAGGTTTGAATAATCCAGAATTTTTGTGAAATTTCCCTAATTTTAGTTGATATTCTATTCGCTATTATATCTTTGTTATTATAATAATTTAAGCATCTTTAATGAACTGTAATTCCACTGTGATCTTACTTTACAAATCGATATTATTTACAAAAACGCTAATATTGTTATTAACTACTAATTTAAAATATTCTGTGTATATAAACATGTATATAATTGTAGAGCCTGGAAGAGGAATTTATCGAAAAGGATATTCTTTGTTCGATTATTTTGTGTTTTATAAATAGAAATGTATATAAGTAGTAAGATACCACTGGACGACCGTTTCTGTCTGTCGGTGGTGGTTTGGACTGATTCAGTTCTATGAGCTGAGCCATGCCGGGTATATCTGCGATGATCTCGGCCTCAGACAAGCGAAACAGCCATCTGGTGATTAGATCACCTCGCTGTAGTTGGTGTTGGCAAACACTACTCGGTTGCTTGATTTGATTAGTATGTAACTACTCATGTTGGTTTGTCAGTAGTCTATAGCGTCAAACATTTATGCTTGATTTCTTGATTTACATTAAAGTATCAAAAAGATCATACGCACAATGTAGTGATCCAGATTAATAACCATTTCAAAAGAAGGGAAAGTGAAGTGAAATTTCATCTCTTTGAACTGTGTTGGTTTTGCAGGAGGGATTTTGATTGGTGGTTATACAATTCTAGCTGACGTCAGTTAGAGAACTACCATTGGAAAAGTAGCAGAGACTACTGGATAGCTGCTTCGCCTTGGTTTGGAGCTCATCAGAAGCGCACGTACCTACCCACCATGGATGGAACCCAGGAGCTTCCAGTTACAGGGCAAGCTCGTAGACCATTCAACTACCGGAACCCAACTGAATGGCCAATGAATAGCCAGCTTCTACCAATTCGTGATTAATCGTGACTCGCACCAGCTAGTGTCATCCACGCTGAATATTTGTTCTCACTATCGACCTGGTGGACCCCATTAAATGGTCATGACGTCTGACACTTAGAACTCCAGTCAACTTCGTCCGGTAGCCAGTCACTAGAGGCAGTTAGATTAAATTCATAGAGAGTTACAGGATTTTCATCATGAGCTGACATCAGTTAGAGAGCCACTGGAAAACCTGGGAGTACTGGACAACTGTTTCGTCCCAGTTTGGGATTCTTCAGCAGTACGCACCCACCGGGATTCGAACCCAGGACTTTCTGGTAACAAGGTGAGCTCGTAGACCATTAGGCCACTGGGACCCATCCAATGGTCCATGAATTCTAACTTCTGCCAATTCACGACATATCGCGACTGGCACTAGTCATTGTCATTGGTGGCGAGTATTTGTCCTCACACCCGACCTGCTGCACATTACTGGTCACAACTTCTCAGCAGAACCCCAGGTAACTGCCTACCTTAAATAGGGCAAGCCGAAGACATTGGCTAGGGGTCGCGCTATGTCGTGAATCGGCAGAAGTTAGAATTCATAGGCTGGCCATTGGATAGGGTCCCAGTGGCTTAATGGTATACGAGCTCGCCTTGTAACAAGAAGGTTCTGGGTTCAAATCCCGGTGGGTGAGCACTGATGAAGAGTCCAAAGCCAGGACGAAACCGCTGTCCAGTACTCCCTGACAGGTTTTCCAATAGTTCTCTAACTGATGTCAGCTCATGATGAAAATCCTGTAACCAATCAAATCTCTACAAACCAACATTTGAATATCATAGAGAGTTAGTTTTCGCTGTATCCTTAGAATACCTTAATAATGTATGGGGGTAGTCTTTACACGAATATACTGACTGACCTAATTACACTGCACTGAATATAACAGTAAAGAAGAGTGCTAGAAAAAAGGCAAACGACAATTCTACAACACACTGGCATATGAAGTAGAACAGGCAGGCCTCAGGTAAATAATAATAATAATAGCTTTATTCTAAACAGTATTTGTGGTACAGGTATGGAATTTTCAGCGTTCATTACAATATTGCATCTAATTACCTCATAAATTTTATAAGATTTTAAAAATAAAAGGCAACAACAACAAAAAGAAAAAGAGGTAAATAAATGAAATAAAAAAGAACAGCATTGCATTCACATATTTGAACAATGCACCACAGGGTATGATATATAAAATTAGTGTGTAATAGAATATGTGATCAACAATATAATAGTAACAAAAGAAAGGAGAACAAAAGCTAATGGGAACTATTTGTTAGAGTGCCGCAGTAAGTTGATCGTGTCATGCCTAACAGTTTTCTCATCACATAACAGCTGTGCCAGATAAGGTATTGTGGAGTTTTTGTACTTGGTAATCCTAGCATATAGCCTCCTATAGCTGCTTCTAGTTCTACCAGATGAAATGCAAGGAGAGAGCTGCGTGTAGAGAGGATGCTCGGGGTCTGACAATATAGAATTCGCTAGTTTCTTACATGACATTATATGTCTATCCACAATCGTGTTAACCAGTTGGTTTAACGATATCCCACTTACCCTACTAACAGCTTTTAGTGCCCTACGCAGCAAAGCAAAATGTTTCTTAAGTAGTCCAGGAAAGACACCTAAGGATATTATATCAGACAACCAGGTGTCTATCCCGGAAGAGATCAACCCAGATGATGAAACCCCATAAAAGATGCTCAAGAGAACAGGATTACCAAGGAGGAGAAACAAATAAAACAATGAGGACTCTTGAATCGACCATCACCGGCAACTCGCCAAGAAATACCACCATCACCGACACCACCACCAACAGCACACACACTGAAGTCTGAGACTGAGCACTTCGGTCCAATCAATCGATGGGGAAATCTAAAATTGAATTAAATAAATACAGGGGTAGTTTTGAAGAGACAGCGTACCTCAACAGCAGTAGCATTAAAAATGCTTTTGTCTCTTTTACTGCATTTTTTAAATAGCATTTTGAAACCTTTTCTTCTTTGTATCAATGATATCCAATTGAAGAAGACCTAGTCAGTCTTATTGTTCTCTAATTTCATTTATTATCATTAAAAAAGTATTAGTGAGCGAGTGAATAAATAAACAAATAAATAAATAAAAAATGGAAAAATAGGACTTTCTTTATTTTTTACAATGTCATTCAATAATTAATGAGTAATAAAGTTTAAACGTCTTTCACAAGAAGGATCATTTTTCAAGAATTAATCAAAGTAGAGTCATTGAACTGAGTGCTACTCAACTTATTAATAAAAAGCTTCTAATTACTAGACACCTTAAAATTGTCTGTAAAGTGAAACTCCCACCCCACCCCCACACATATATACACACAAAAGAAATCATTGTTAATGTTGAAGAGGTGTTCCAGTTCCTTGATAGATAGATAGATAGATAGGTAGATAGATAGACAGACAGACGTGTTATTTGTTGGTTTCAGTCTCTCTCTCCACACAAACACACATGCACACACTATAATGACGTAATTTGATATCTTCTCAATCATCTTGAATTCATGTTTCATTGATTTTGATTGTGACCAGTACATATATACATGTATATATTGTGTTTGTGTGTTCTCTACTTGTGTGTGTGTGCGTGTGTGTGGGGGGGACTGAATGATGTCGACTTTGAATCAAGGCCTCCTTCTTTACATTAAAATAAAAAAGAATTAACGTGCACTGTTGGCACTCATCATCGGCGAGACGCATATCTTCAATCTCGAATCCGTGTTACGCACAGCTGTCTTCATTCCCTTCGAGGCTGCAGAAATGCGAACAAGCACGAAACCTAGGGCTTCGGCAAGCCTTTGTGACGATTGCCTCTAACGATCTAATAACAGTAATTCAGAGTGCAGTGCTATGGCGAGCCACCTTGTAGGGACTAAAACTGACTCTCTCGCTATGGTCTAAAAATGCAGGCAACCGATTTCTGCATTCTACTTATAAAATGTCTTCGTGTGCTTTTGGAAGTGTGTGTGCGGTTGTTACTTCCCGGCTGCCTACACCGTGGGGGTTGGTTGAGTCTTCGGGCACCTGAAATAGAAAAAAGGTTAGTGTTGAGTGACCGCAGAGCCCAGGGGACAACTACTTGAGGCCGGTCACACGTGATCTGCTTTTGTTTGTTCTTTTTTGTTTGATGTGTCTCAGTGGCATATTTATCACTTCTGCCCTGTGACACGGCAGCAGGAAGCGCGGTCGTTGTTAATCCGAGCCCTGACCGATCCGGCATGATATTTAGTGAATTTGTTTGAATTATAGTATTGGATTGGATTGGGTAGCTGCTTTTTGTCTAACCGCTATCCAAACAACCTTTCTGGCTTGATAGGACCTACAGGAACATAAGTTTCAGTCAGTGTAGCTCGTTGGGTCATTGCGATATGCAAGCCCGATCACCACGTCAAGGTAGCAGCTATCGGTCGGGACTGTATAACATAGCAGCTCTCCGAAACTTCCTTGAGATAAAAACGCACAGTCAAAAATGCTACAAAGACAGGGAAAAGGTGGTTATTCTTGGTTAAATCTGTGTGTTTGTGGTCTAGTTTAAGTATAAAATGAACACTTAGAATCAAGCAAAATATGCGTAAAATGGTAGGGTCAAAAACTCAACCCACACTAATCGCACAGCAACGCTTCGTGCAAATAGTCCAAGGTCAGAATCACCTTCAAACGATTAAACAAAATCACAATTGTATAACCCTGGACCGACGTGAAGAACCTAGAAGACCTGGATTTCGCGGATGATTTATGTTTGATGTCACACAAAATCGAAAACTTACAAGCGAAAACCGAATAAAACTGGTCGAAGAAGCAGTTAAGACAGGACTCCAGATGAACATAGACAAGACGGGGGTTATGAAAATAACCAACCAAACAACAACAACCACAACAACAGCAGCAACATCCAGCGCCAATCACCATCAACGGGAGGGATTTGAAAGAGGTTACTTCATTCACTTATCTAGGGAGCATTGTCTCAACTACACGAGGAACGGACGGACGAGGATGTCAAATCGAGAATCGATCGGGAAGGCGAGAAACACATTCATCAACCTGAAACCAATCTGGAAATCTTCGTCACTCAGCAACGCTCAACAACAAAATTCGGATTTTCAATACAAACGTCAAGTCAGTCAGTTCTTCTATACGTACGGATCAGAAACTTGGCGGGTCACAAAGAATATTTCCAACAGCCTGTTGCAGACCTTTATCAACAACTGTCTTCGCTGGCTCTATACTGAAGATCAGATGGCCGGAAAGAATCACCAACAAGAAACTATGGGAACAAACAAAACAAGAACCAATCGCCCAACAAATATGCAGGAGAAAGTGGAGATGGATTGGACACTCGCTGAGGAGGCCGTTGGGTGACATCGCGCGTCAGGCCATTGCTCGAGTGGAACCCGAAAGGGAAGCGGCGAGTGTGACGTCCAAGGGTGACATGGATGAGATTGTGTCAAGAGGAGTTGAAACAGTATGGACTAACATGGATGCATGTGAAAAGTACAGCAGAAGACAGAAGCAAGTGGAGACGTGCAGTTGAAGCCCTATGTTCCACTAGGAAGCCAAAGGAACAATAATATAATAATAATAATACAGTTGTATAACAACTCATTATCAATATCATTGTCAAACAACCGTAAAGAGAAGCATTTAAATTAGAGATTGAACAGGAGCAGGAGACAAATAATAAAGATTAAGCCAATATATGATATGCAAATGTCAGAACAATGATATGCAGTCTAAGAGAAACAAACGGATAATAACTACAAATTTACAAGACTTGGTTTGTAAGGATTAAATTTGTTTCTACCAGTTTGATCATGGATTGATATCAGTTAGAGAACCATTGGAAAACCAGTTGAGAGTACTGTACAACTGTTTCATCCTAGTTTGGGAATCATTGGCAGTACGCACCTAATGGGGTTCGAACCCAGGAGTTGGTGGAAGTTAGAATTCATGGGCTAGCCACTGAATCGGGTTGGGTCCCAGTGGCTGAATCGTATACGGGCTTGCCTTCTAACCGGAAGGTCTTGGGTTCGACTCCCTGTGGTGTGTGCGTACTGCTGATGATTCTCAAACTAGGATGAAACAGCTGTTCAGTACTCCCAGCTGGTTTTCAATGGTTTTCTAACTAAACACAAATTTAGTTGAAACATCCAAAAAGGTATAAATATTGTGATTACATCATTCACAGGAAGGATTTTCCAAATATGATTTCCCCCACACTTCTACCTCAGGGATCATTGGCTGCATCAGCATCGACACCTAGACGACGCCTGACATTGGCTACTCCGTGCGCAATATTTTCGCTTCATCTCTATATACTACTTTTATGACTACCACTAGTAGTAGTAGTATTGGTATTGATAGTTTGAATGTCAAGCGATATTAAAGACTGGATGAAATTCTGCGAAAAAACTAACCAAAAGCCTGTTGAACCCGAATAGGAAGCGACGAGGGTTACATGGAGGAAATCATTGTGAGGAGGGAATGAAAGCTTGTGGAGAATTGTGAAGCCAGTTGAAGAGAGCTGTAGAGGACGAAGCGAAACGGAGTTGTGCTACTGAAGCCCTCTCTATGTTCCACTTGGAGCCACCCAAGGGAATATTAATATTAATAATAATAATAACCCTATAGTCATTATTATTTTAAAAACTATTGGTAACAGTTCTCTCCATTTATTTTATTTTATATTTCTTTTTTTTTTAACAGGATTCTAAATCTTTTACTGATACCTGTGGTAATGGTCATATTGATCGTGGTGAAGAATGTGATCCTGGTGTTGTTCGTCCAGTGTCTACAACATCATCATCATTGTCGTCGACAACAAACTATACTAATAATCCAATGTCATGTTGTAATCTTGATACATGCCTAGCTGCTGTATGGGCTGTTTGTACACATGGCCCGTGTTGTCATCAATGTCGACTGAAGCCAAAAGGTAGTGTATGTCGTCCAGCCTTTGATCAATGCGATCTACCAGAATTCTGTACCGGTACACAAGTAAGTTATTTTTGTTTGATAAAAAAATCCCTGCTTTTCTTATTCTCTTCACTAGATTTGTAGCTAAGACTATCTATGAAGTAATTGGAAAGTCCTTGGGTTCGAGTCTAGGTGAGTGGGTGAGTGATAGTGATGAAGAGTCCGAAAATAGGACGAAACAGTCGGCTATCCAGTACTCCCTCTTTGGTGGTTTTCAATAGTTCCCTGATTCATTAACAGACTGACCGGTTCCAACATAGAACTCCGCAGAGATGTGCAACAGTTCTCCCAATATAGCACACAAACCAACAGAAGAGAATCAGAAGTGTCAAGGAAGAAGAATAGTAATATGGAAGAACAATAGAGTTTTATTGGATATGACTGGCGAATCACAAAGAGTGAATATATCTGTGCTATTACTGAGAACGAATTTCAGCCATATCATCACCAAGTATCTTCAACATTCATTGGTTCTTGCCATCTCAGGGACCCCAACCAAGAAGTCGACACTACGTATGCCTAGTCATCACCTTCCTCGACAATGGGCAATGCTAGCTGATATAGGGCCAGGCTGGAAAAGAGCTAGCGGCTGTCAAACCAAAACATGGCACCGGTCAATGAAATCCACAACAGTTAGTCTAAGCCACGTAGGAAGGTGTAGATTTCCTCACTGGTTGGGGTCCTCGGGACGGTAAAACCAATGGTTGGAAACAAATGGTAACATGGCTCAAAATCTTTCTCAGTGGTGCAGATGCATCCACTCCTTGTGACTTATGATTTCCAATGAAACTGTTTTGTTCTCCGTTATTACTATTCCTTTGTCTCACACCTCTGTTTACTGTCTATATTATGCATTTCTTCTACTTTCTTCTCTTGCTTTGTGTGCTACATGGAGTGTGGCGACGTGAACTGCTGCACATATGTGCAGAGTTCTTTGTCGAAAACCGACCGACCGATCAACGCTTCCAAACGTGACGGCTGGCTTAAACTAGTTGTTATGGATTTCATTGACTTTTGAAGCCTTGCTTTGGTTTTTTTATTCCTTTACATTCCCAGTGGAACATAGGGCTTCAAGCTAAATGCTTGAAGTTTCGGTAGCAGTGGTCTTCATTTTTACGGGATGGGGTTGCTAGCCTCATCCATAACCTTCCCTCTTTACCAGTCGTATTACTGGCTTAACGAGATAAAGGAGTGCATTTGCGACCGCTGTGCCACCACTAACCCTTTTCCAACCTATTCCCGTTTCGGCTAGTACCGCTCGTCGAGGATGGCGATAGCTGGGCATGCGCAACACATGTCCCAACCATCTCTCTCAGTCGATGTCACTTCACAACCTCGTCGATTGACTTACCCTCCTTAACCAGCACTCAATGCCTAGCCACCTCAATATTGCTCACCCTATAATACGACCTAACACATTCGGGAGATAGAATTCAGACACCTATGGTGAAAGATAACTAACTTTTTTCATGTTTTCTACTTTCATTGGCTTTGGCAATACTGAACTTTAAGTACAAAAACGATTTGTACGATCTCTTTCCTTACCCAATGGTCTTGATTTTATTATGTAATTCACATGAAAACTTTGTTATCCTTTTTTATTCCATGTTGCATTTTTATTTTATTTTACTTTTTTTCGTCATATTCTAACAGTGTTTTATCTAGTCTACTATTTTGACAACATTTCACTCATCCATCCATGTCATATACCCATTATATTATATTCACATACTCACATTTCCGAATGTACCTTGTTTTTCGACCACCTGCTTACTGACATTATTTCAGAGATTTCTACTGAACTTTAGGTTGACCTCTGTTTATTTAGTTATTCATTCATATGTTTTACGATTTGTTCACGGATTGCTATCAGTTAGAGAACCATTGAAAACCAACAATGGAGTACTGGACAGCTGTTTTATCTTAGTTTGGGAACCATTGGCAATACGCATCCACCACAGGAAGTCGAACCCAGGACCTTCCGGTTACATGGCCAACAAGCTCGTATACGATTCAGCCACTGGGACACAACCCGATTCAATGGCTAGCTTATGAATTCGAACTTCTACCAATTCGTGATTTAGCGCGACCACCAACCAATGACTGGATGGACCTCACTGGTCAAGACTCAGTCCGTGTTCAACTCGTAAAAACAAATCTTATCCTTACAAACCAACTATTAAAAATATTCATTCATATATCTAATCTAATCTGGGTCCCAGTGGCCTAATGGTCTACGAGCTCGCCTTGTAACCAGAAGATCCTGGGTTCGACCCTCGGTATTTATGCATCGGTGGGACAGCCTTTAGGACGCTCGCCGACCATGCACATAGTCCGGGGTTCGTATCCCGGCCACCAACGCACTCCTTCACATCGCTAAGCCAGTAATAAGACTGGTAAAGAGGAAAGGTTGGGCATGGGGCTAGCAGCAACCCTATCCCGTAAAAATAAACACCACAGCTACAGAAACCCAAAGCCTCTAGCTTGAAGCCCTATATTCCACTGGGAACGTAAAGAATTAAAAAAATTCAAGTGCAACAGTTTTTTTTACCTATTTTGTCCCTCTTTGTGTTTCCTCCACGTAATTTGCTGTCGACCTCGAGTAAAGCGTAGTAGATGACCGTTCTCTATGGAGGATTTTTTTCTATTATTTGTATTCATCATCAACACTATCTTCACTACAAATTCTCCGGATCCGTATTAAGACAAAGAGAGAGAGCAGATTAAATTCCTTTATCTGTCTATGAGGACATAACTGTAAAAATTGGTCAGTTGTCCTGTGTCCATGTCGATTTTCTGTCAACAGATCTTTTCAAAGACTCCACGACTGTTCTTGTAATGAGTAGCACATCCATGTGTATCTACCAATTTAATTGCTCCTGTGGAGTGAGCCAGTTACATAGGCCGTACAATTAGGCGTGTTTCTCGTCGAATTTCCGAACATCACCCTGCCTAGTGGTTAAGCAAAGGACAAACAAAATCTATTCGTAGTGCCATTCTATCCCATCTTGTGGAAACAGAACACAAGATTGACGTTAACCATGATTTTAGGGTCATTTATCGCATACCAACAAATCTTAAATTCACCTTAAGAGTTCGTTTACTAAATATTTCTGAGGCTGTTGGGATCCACAGTAAAGAAGCCTAATTTATGTGTCCAAATGAAGAAGATGGTTCAGACATTGTCCTTACCTTGGCCATCTAGGTCTGAATGATCCTTAATTTTTGTGGAAATTTCCCTAATTTTAGTTGATATTCTATTTGCTATTATATCTTTTTTATTATTATAATTTAGGCATCTTTAATGAACTGTAATTCCATTGTGATCTTAATTAACAAATCGATGGTATTTAAAACGACCAATATTGTTATTGACTACTATTCTAGAACATTCTATGTATAAAAACATGCACATATAATTGCCCCGACCGATAACTGCTACCTTGCCGTGGTGGTAGGGCTTGAATGCCGCAGTGACCCAACAAGCTAAACTGGCTGGGACTCATTTCCCTGCAGGTCCTACCATGTCAGGAAGGTCGTTTGGATAGCGGTTAGACTAAAAGCAGTTACCATGGGGTACATGAATTCAATCGGATCAAATGGCGTATGAGCCCATATGGGTCACCGGCAACCATGGGAACGCAGCACCTGACGCTGCTCCGCTGCCTTGCGGATAAGACTCCAAGTCAAAGGCTCGGGGGGTGGTCCCTTAAGAAAACCACCTGCTCCGGTCTGGGCGCCCCGGCAGTATCTCAGCCCTCACACAATACTGGGTGGCACATCTTTCTTGGTGCCATATTGTACCAAGTTTTTCTGCGTTTAAATAAATATATATATATAATTGCAGAGCCAAAAGAGGAATTTATCGAAAAGGATATTCTTTGCTGGCTCAATTCTTTTGTATTCCTATTATTTATTGATAAGTCAGCTTTTTCAAACTGAGTTGTATTCACTGTTTATTTTACTTATCATTTTTTTTTTTTTAAAATTTAGCCATCATGTCCATTAGATTTATACTTGGAAAATGGTTCTCCGTGTTTAACACGTTCAGTACAATCCCTGCTGGGGGGTGTTGCTCCGGTTTCGTCTTCCTCGACGCCATCTTCATCATCACCGCCATCGCCATCATCATCTGCAGATGCGGCTAATCCACAGAATTCATCGTCAGTAGTAAATCAACATATCATTGAAAATCATAAATCATTATGCTATCAAGGTAGATGTCCAACACGGCATAGCCAGTGTCAAATGATCTGGGGACAGACAGCCACTGAGGCAGCTGATTATTGTTTCCATTTGCATAATACTAAAACAGATGGAGCTTGTGGTGTACGAGGGAAGCATTGTGCTCCAGAGTGAGTTAGTTTCTTCTTTTGTTTTCCGTTTTCTTGTTGATCAATTATTTTTCATTGTTTTTCCCTTTGTTGTTGTGAGTTATTCTAATCATTTCATTGGTGATGTGTTGTAGTTGATTCAATTGATCATACATGGATTAATATCAGGTGGAGAGAGAGAGAGAGCTTGAAACTCATCGACAGTACTCATTCATCCACCGAACGGGTTCGAACCCAGCACCTTTCGGTTACAAGGCAAGCTAAAATCACGAATCGGTAGGAGTTAGAATTCATAGACTGACCGTTGAAGAGTCGGATCCCAGTGGCTGATGAATGGTCTACAAACTCGTTCTCCTTGTAACTGGATGGTCCTATGTTCGAACCCCCCGGTGGGTGGAGTGTGAATTGATGAAGAGTCCCTAACTAGGACGAAAAGGCTTTTCACTGGTACTCCCTGGTTTGGTTTTCAGTGGTCCTCTCACTAAATCATATCAATCCGTAATCGAACATGAATTTCACTGTCTTGAAAAGAATAATTTGTTGGAAAATGTCTACTTCGTCGTGTCAACTTCTAGGAAGGATACTTTGACAAGTCTTTGAGATTAACCTGATGTTATCTGATTGTTCTTAGTTAGCAGTAGAACGAAAAAAACTTGTTTCTTCTGATTAAGCACTCCTCATATTTGATGTACCTTCATTCTAGGCAAGCGAGTGATGATTGTGTTCACCACTGTAACTAACAATACTGCAGCCAGGTGAGGGCTTACGGCGAACTGTCATCTGAAGTGGTGACGACTAGTGGCGTCCGTCAAGGATGCCCACTATCCCCATTCCTATTCAATTTCATCATAGATGTACTAATGGACTTAACCCTAAGTCACTTCAGAGAGTCAGGGATTGACTTGCTACCGCCAGGGAATAATCTCGTTGACTTAGAATATGCAGACGATATAGTCCTTATAGGCGAGGACGCTGACAAAATGCAGAGTCTTCTGAACGCCTTGAGCAACAATCTTCGTATGTTTGGCATGCGATTCGCCCCTGTAAAATGTAAGATGATGTTACAGGATTGGACTACACTGATTCCCACTTTAGAAATAGGAAGTGAAGTGGTAGAGCACGTTGACCACTTCACTTACTTAGGAAGTACCATCAGCCACAACAGGTTGATCTCCGACGAAATCTCAGCACGAATACAGAGGGCTAGTTTCGCATATGCCAGTTTACGCCGTCTCTGGCGTAGACGTGATATCCGACTGTCGACCATAGGGCGTGTGTACTGCTCAACAGTCCGCTCCGTCCTCCTTTGTGGCTGTGAGACCTGGCCATTGAAAGCAGAAGACATGAAAAGATTAGCTGTCTTTGATCATAGGTGCCTGCGTTCTATCTCCCGTGTGAAGTGGTATAATAAGGTGAGCAATACTGAGGTTAGGCGTCAAGTGCTAGGTAAGGAGGGGAAATCAGTCAACGAGACTGTGAAATTACATCGACTGAGATGGTTAGGACATGTGTTACTTATGCCTAGTCATCACCTTCCTCGACAATGGGCAATGTTAGCTGACATAGGGTCAGGCTGGGAAAGAGCTAGTGGCGGTCAAACCAAAACATGGCTTCATCAGTCAATGAAATCTACAACAGTTAGTCTAGGCCACGTAGGAAGTTGTATACATCCTGGTTAGAGTCCTCGGGACGATAAACACCAATGAAGGCTGGAGACAATTGATGATATGGCTCAAAATTGTTCTCAATGATGGCGCAGATGCAATCACTCCTTGTGACTTATGATTTCCCAATGCAACTGTTTTGTTCTTCGTTATTACTATTCCTTTGTCTCACACCTCTGCCTACTGTCTCTATTTTGCATTTCTCCTACTTTCTTCTCTTGCTTTGCGTGCTCCAAGGAGGGAGTGTGGAGACTTGAACTGCCGCACATATGTGCAAAGTTCTATGTCGAAAACAGACAGACAGACAACAATATTGACTCGTTGTAGTCTGAAAATAGAGGCAACCGATCTTCCTCTTCTACTGTTTAGCTGTCCAAAACTTCTTTGAGACAAACACGCAGTCCCAAAACACTCCATAGTCAGTAAAAAGGCGATTATTCGTCGGTGAATTGATGTGTGTGTGTTTGTGGTTCTTTTCAACAATAATAACAAAGCAAAATTCAAAATAACTGCCGCTGGGCACAGGAATCACACCAACTATTCCCGAAGAACTACAGTTTTAGCAGAATAAAGTGGTACCATCATTGTTTATTTCGTTGCCTTCTCGGCAGCTGCTTACAAACCAAAGACATTATTAAATATATCTACAGTAATAATATATACATACATATGTAATATTAAACACTATTCCGAACAATAATCATACACAATGAAAACTTTTCAGCAATTCACATTGAGATGAAGGAGAGATGAAAATATCCAGTGAACAGGGCAAAGAAAGACTGATTACCGCTTCTTTCTGGATGCATAAATCAGGTTTCAGGCGCTTGATGGAAATGGCTTCATCAAACTTAAGGAGAATTGAACTCTTTTGCTTATTGATAATTCTGAACAACTTTTCGACATCCACCTCATGACCCGTGTCGAGAAGATGCCTGGCGATGGTATTTGTTCCCTTTAGACGTAAGCTTTTTGGCACATATTCAGATAATCGTAGATATGCCCCTCTTTCTGTTCATCCAATATAATTGCTCCCGCAGATACATGTAAATTTGTATATACAGTTGAAATTGTTAACATGAGAAGGATATCTATCGATTTTTGATTGCACCAAAGAGCAAGTTGTTCGATAGACGGAAACCAGCTAAGCTGCAGGATAAGCTATGGCTAGTGATGTACTCAGCCTTCTGTTGATCATCGCTGCAATGTTTTCACCTTTATAATCAAGCTGAATGTAGATTGGCTTTTTTTACCCACTGTGATTTGTTTTACATTTGTGACTTCAAATCTTCCATACTTGTTGATGACACTCCAAGTTCAAAATAACCTTGGCTCACTCAGTCATAATCGCAGTCATAGAAAAACACATTATCAATATCATCGTCACACAACCACAAAGAGAAGCATTAAAATTAGAGATTACACAGGAACAAGAGACAAATAATAAGGATCACATCAACATATGATATAAAAATGTCAAAATAATGAAAAACAGTCTAGGAGGAAAAACGGATAATCATTTTAAAGTTAGTTGGATTGCCCAAACAAGTATGAATATTGTAATTAGATCATTCAGGAGATATTTTCCACCCACTGTTTCAAACTCAAACACACTATCTACTAGGCCAATCAACTGTGATCGTTTCTGCGTTCGTATCTCAGTTTGAACACCATCCATATCCCACTGATGGCGTTCCAAGCAGGGCATAGGGTTTCAAGCTACAGGCTTTGTAGTTCCTATAGTGGTGTTGTCTACTTTTTACAGGGTGGGATTGGTTACAAGCACCATGTCCAACATCCTCTCTTTTCTGGACCACATGAAATGTGGTTGGTGAGCACTCTACCCTGGGGATGGTGTCGCTCACTGAAAATGCAGACACACTAAGATGGCGTGTCCTAAATAGGACGAAATACGCTTCCTTGACTCTACTGCTGTTCATTTACATTTTAGTTATATAACTTTCAAATGTGTATTTATCTCTGTATATATTTTTAGACATGCAAAATGTGGACTTTTACAATGTCAAGGTGGGAAACCAAGACCAACTTCCTTAGAAGCACAATCTGGTCAACCATTTGTCACATATACAGAGCATAATGGACGTCAATTTGAATGCAAGTGAGTTCAGGGTTGTCCAGTTGTCCTTTAATAATAACCCCCCCCCCACTTTCTTCATTTTTGTCTCTTGTTCAGTATTGTTCTTATTCCATATTAATAATAATAACATCTTTATTCTTGAAATAATAGAGATTTGTAGCTCAGGTGGATGATTTGCAATTAATAGTGTTCTCTGAGCTGTTTGGTTTAGTTGCGGAGCTTTCGTCGTCCCCCTGATGGACAACATCCCCTTTCAGCTCAATATTTAGCATAAGGTGAAATGATTTAAATTTCTTCATGAGCGATAGATAGAATTGCGTCTCCTGGTAACCATCTTTACATATGCATTGACCATTTTCTATTGACTTGGATTTTAAACTTTCTGGTCACCTGTGATTTACTTCTTATTAGTTGGTATATTTCGTCTATATTAACGTGTTTGTTAATTGCACATTTGTTTGAGTATCAGGCTTCTAGGAATTCCCTGACTGCACTTTTGGTGTTTCCTCTGTCTAAGATTTTGATATGATCCCAACCAAACTAATGTCCATAATTGTCTACATGCATTGATATGAAAAAGAATATATTTCATGTCTTTTCACGGCTGATTTGTGTTCCTGGATTCTGATTCGAAGGGGACGCCGACTTCGGCTGATCTTTCGGTTTGCACAATATCGAATTAAGCGATTTTACTGGTTTGTGTGCTATATCTATATCAAACGGTTTCAGTATTCTAGCTGATATTTCAGAGATATTCGTCATGTATGGTAGGATGAATTTTCTCGTGGTCTTTGATGATGGTTCCTTGTTGGTGTTGTGATTCGATTTTAAACACTTTTTGATGAAATTTTGTGGATAACCATTCTTTTTGAAGACTGTTAGTAAGTACTTTTCTTCCATTCTTTTGAATTCTGGAGTGCTACAGTGTGTTTGAACTCTTTTAAACAATGTCTGCACACAGTTTCGTTTGTGAGTAATTGGATTATTGCTAGCATAAATGAGTATTTGATCTGTGTGCGTTGCTTTTCTATATACTTGTGTTTCTAAATTTCCTGTGTTGATTCTCCTGATTAAGACATCTAAAAATGGGATTTTGCTATCTAATTCTTCTTCTCTTGTGAATTTGATGTCTTCAAATATGTTGTTTATTAATTTATGAGTATATTCCAAATCACATTTCTCTTAATTATTACAAATGCATCATCAACGTAAAGTACCCAGATTTTTGGTTTAATTATAGGTAGAGCTATTAATTCTAATCTGTTCATGACGGCTTCGGCTGTTAATCCTGATATGGGCGATCCCATCGTTGTTCCTTTTATTTGTTCATATATTCGAGTATTGAACTGGAAGTATGTTGTAAGGCATAATTTTATGAGTTCTATCCAAGTTGAACATCACTGCGTTTTTATGTTTTCATCACTATAGAGTAATTGCTGCATAGTTTCCGTTGGTAGTTTTGGACTAATTGGATTATATAATGCTGTGACATCAAAGGACACAGTTATTTCATTGTCTTCTACGTGAATGTTTTTGACTTTCTCTAAAAATTGGATTGACAAATTGATAGAATGGTCGCATGATTCTGTTAAGTAATTTAATTTCCTGAAAAGTTCTTTAGATAGATTATATGTTGGTGTTCCTGGAAGCGAAACATCTTTATTCTGGACAGTATTCATAAAAATGGACACAATTTTCAGAGTAGTTTATTGCACGATATGTTTTCTTCACGCAGTCAATATCTTCAAGTAAAGTATTAATTGACAGTATATCCTGTGTGTGACACAATGGTCTCTGAGCTGATGAAGCACAAACCATTCCATTATGTGATATATCTGCTTTGTCTCCTTCAAGAAATCCACGATATCTAGTTGAAAGCCATTTGTAAGATGCTCAGAAGTACATTGTGAGACCCAAGGACACAACTGAAGAACAATTAACTGATGTATTGGAACACATCGCCACCCACAATCAGGCTTTTCCTGACGTTTATTTGTAACTTGCAAATCAGAAGCGCTTGTAAACATTTTAAATACACACAAGAGTAAAGGTCATATCTTAGAAAGCCGTGACCAGCAGGTCGGGTATGTGGACAAATACTCGCCGAAGATATTGGCTAGTGGTCGCGCTATGTCGTGGATTGGCAAAAGCTGGAATTCATGGGTTGGCCATTGGATCAGGTCCCATTCTCTAATGAATGGTCTACGAGCTCGCTAGCCTTGAAATTAGAAGGTCCTGGGTTTGAACCCCTATGGCGGTGGGTGCGTACTGCCGAACAGTCCCAAACTAGGCTGACGAAACAGCTGTCCAGTACTCCCAGTCGGTTTTCCAATGGTTCCCTTTACCGATGTCAGCTCATGATGAAATCCTGTAACCAATAAATCCAATCCCTACAAATCAATACTTGTTACCAAAATGTTATTTGGAAAATACACAAATTAATATAAAATAACAAAATAGTGATGATAAAAGCTGATCTTGAAACTACACCCATGATAGAAAGCAAGGGATCGAGGAGTTTCTTTTTGTGTATGCATAAATCAGGATTTTCCATCAGAATCCCTAATTCCTCGGCAATGACAAGTCTATGGAAGCTTGCTGTTTGTTTTTTTCGTGAGGCTTCTTTTGACTTTGTAGATAACTTTGAATGAATTCTTTCCTTGCATTTTGAGTAGTGACTAGTGTTGAGTATATATGTTCAATGAGAGCACTCTTTATTGATCCATTGTTACCTTTTTGGTGTAGCTAAGCAGGGTAATGTTCTTTGACTCTTTTAGATAAAAAGAGCACGCATTGAACGACCTATAGATCTCTATCTCGCTTCACAGTTTCAAAATGGTATCGAATTTCGGATATATCATAAGAAATAAATGATTCTCTCTTGTCCTACGTATATGCGAGAAACATGATTCTTTTACTTCAGTTGACTTTGTGTAAATAAACAAATCTCTTCTGTCATTTAGTGAATCTATCCATCTGTCCACCTGTCATACGCCAATATATGACTGACTGACTCACTTTATGGACAGTTTTTATTCTCTGGTGGAACAGATCTACCTACTGGTTACCTGTTGAGCCTGTGATTGTTTATCGTTTTATTGATGCCTTTAATACTCATTCAATACCTCTGTCAACCTTATTCACTTGTCACTGTCTGTCTTAATCTTATCATATATAAATGTGTGTAAATATATACATATACACAGGTCGAAAAGTTTACTGAAGTTTGTAATACCATTATGGGTAAATTTTATTTTGATAAAATCTCACAGTGTTATGCAGTAATGTTTACTGATGACGTCAAGAGCACAATTTATTGCCACTCATAATCATATCAAGGTAATCACACGACTTCCTAAATTCATTTATATAGTTCCATTGTTTTTCACTTGATTTGATTGGTAGTATTATTTTCCATATTTCGGGTATGAGTGATGAATCATTCCTATTGCATGTGTTGGGTGTAGATCCACTCGATGAACAAAGATTCAGTAATCAGCCTATCTCTCTCTCCACCTACCTAGATTACTTTTTAGAATTTTAACCCTATCCCACTCACCCTATTGTGTGGTTGTGTGTTAATGCATACATTGTAATTGCCGAGCTTTTTTCTAAATTACTTATCTTCTCTGGGTCAACCATTTTTACCTTAGCCACTAAATTCTTATGTTCTGACAATCTGACTACCCCTGACCTACTAGTTTGACCTATGTAGTTGACCTCGCTCACAGTCATTGCAGGATACTTTGTAAATTATATTATTTTGTCTAATTGGGTCCACTGGGTCCTTTAACCTACAGAGCTTGTCTCACCTGAGTGAGTTTGTATGCTTGAATGCCACCCTAATTCGTGCTTTATTTAGAATCCTACGTAGGGTCTCAGATGTCCCCTCTTTAGATGGTATAACTGTAAATGACTTATATTCTCTCTTATTTATGTTATCATTACTAGTTTCACAATTCTTTTTGTTTTCCTTTTGACCTTATCTTCAATCCTACTGAATCCTTGTTCATCGAATCTACACCCAACACATGCAATAGGAATGAATCATCACTCATCACATACCGAAATATGGAAAATATTACTACCAATGAAATCAAGTTAAAACCAAGTGAAAAACAATGGAAGTATAGAAATGAATTTAGGAAGTTGTGTGATTACCTTGATATAATTATGAACAATCAATTGTGATCGAAACGTGGTCATCAGTAAACATTACTGTATAACACTGTGAGACTTTATCAAAACAAAATTTACCCATAATGGAATTACACTCTATCACAGTGCACAAGTTTTATTCTTATAAGTATTAATAGATTTAATTGGTGGATGGTGACTAGCAGTGGAATCCAGGATGCACATTTCGTCCTATTTGGGACTCGTCACTGGATGTACCTGCATTTCTCAGTGAGTGATGATGTTCCCACCGAGTCCCAAATAGGACGAAATGCGCATCCTGAATTCCACTGCTAGTCACCATCCACCAATTAAATACTAGTTAAGTACCCAGACATCGTCGAAGCATCTGCTCAAGAAGCCGACATGTCAACCTGAGACCGAGCAATTCGGTCCACTCAATCGACGGGAAAAATCTAAAATTCAATTATATGTAACAGATTGATATAATTGAAGAAAATAGTGTTTTTTTCCAAATTCGAGGAATGCTCACTATCGAATGGCCCCATTCAGGCAGGTGGAAGTAACCTGGGTTCTAGTGAGAAGTCGTGACCAGTTGGTGGGGTACAGCAGGTCGTCGGGTGTGAGGACAAATAGTTGCCACTCATGACATTGGTGGCTAGTACTAGTCACGCTATGTTGTGCTTCAATTGGTAGAAGTTGGAATTCATGGACTGGCCGTTGGATAGGGTCCCAGTGGTTGATGACGAGCTAGCTCGTCTTGTAACCGGAAGATCTTAATTCTGAAACCTGGCGGTCCCAAACTAGGACGAGGGAAATAGCTGTCCAAAAACACAAATCAGCCGTGAAAAGACACGATATGTATTCTTTAATATCAATACATA